TCTCCCCATTCCAATCCCATTCCCATTATTCCCATTCTCATTATTCCCATTATTCCCATTATTTCCAATCCTGTTATTCCCATTATTTCCATTCCCATCCCATTCCCATTCCTCCCATTCTCTTTATTCCCATTATTCCAAATCCTGTTATTCCCATTATTTCTGTTAACATCCCATTCCCATTATTCCCATCCTTGTTCCCATTCCCATTATTCCCATTAATTCCCATTGATTCCCATTATTCCCATTTTTTTTTTCCCAGCTCCTCCCTTTCAGGAAAGGCCCCCAGGATGTTGGAATTCCCGGAATTCCCGGGAATGCTGACCTGGTTGGAGGACATGTTCTCTGCCTTCATCAGGGACGAGTAACTCCTGCAGGGACAATTCCAGAGGATTATCCCAGATTTTGGGAGGAATTCTGACTCAAAGCCAGGATCAGGTCCCAGAATTCCAAAGGGATTTTCCCTCTGGAATTCTCCCCTCAGTGATTATCCCGGAATTCCATTTTTTTGCCTCCCAAGGTTTTCTCCGGGATCTCCCAGCTGGGAAATCCCGGATTTGGGATCCCAATCCCTGCTTTCCCAGCCTGGATCCCAGGGAAAATCCCGGAATTCCTGAAATCCCTGGTTTTTGTGGTGCTCAGGGAGAGCCACAGGGGAAGCTCCCGAGGGAATCCTGGGAGAAGCACAAGGAATTCCTGGGAAAACTCTGGAATTACTTCCAGGGAAAATCCTGGGGGGATTCCAGGGGCATCAATTCCACACACATCTCCAAAGGGAGCTCCAGGAGCAATTCCAGAGGGAATTCCTGCAGGAATTCCAGAGGCAATTCAGGGACCAATTCCAGAGGGAATTCCAAAGGGAATTTCAGAGCAATTCCAGAAATAATCCCAGAGGCAATTCCAGGGGCAGTTCCAGAGAGAATTCCAAAGGTAATTACAAACAGAAACCCAGGGGCAATTCCAAAAGGAATTCCAGAAGAAGTTCAAGAGGCAATTCCAGAGGCAAAGGGAATTTCAGGGCAATTCCAGAGGGAATTCCAAAGGGAATTCCAGGGGCAGTTCCAAAAGAAGTTTGAGGGGCAATTCCAC